GCGTTTATACCAAATATGGTAATGAACAAATTATTTTACTGGTAAATTTTACTGTCAAATGGCATGAACTATAATACAGTAATGTCCAAAAGAGGTTTTTGTGTAATATTTGAAAGATGGATGTCTCGCCATTTAAAAATCATTAACCTTTGCATTACTTTTGTGTGATTCATGTATATATATATATATATATATATATATATATATATATATATATATATATATATACGGTGAATACTAGACCTGGCTTCTAGCGAGATTAATGCTCGACAAGCGTACATATAAATTTTAGTTCAAAAAACGTCCGACAGCTTGACGATATTACCATGTTTAAAACAGTATAAATTGTTATTTGTTTATAAGTCTTGTACTTATGTACATCGTCTTTTTTGTATTTAATGTTATAATTTTTTTCCTGAAGATGGTTTATATACGTCCGACGTTGACATATTAACATTAAAACAGTATAAATTGTATATATATATATTTTTCTTATATATATATATATATATATATATATATATATATATATATATATAAAATTATTTATTTAAAAATATGATTCCAACTCGCGACATAAGAGGTCTCATGTTTCAAAACAAGAGCCGAAAAACTTCAATATAATTATTTGAATTAAGTTGAGTTAAAGAAAGCTCTGTTCCATCTTCAAGCTATGGTTTGAATGATTAGCTAAAAACAAGCATACAATATAATAACTTTTATAATCCATAGCCAAAATAAATAGTTTAAATACCCTACAAAAAGAAAACCCTCTATGAAGTCGTCAAAAAACAAAAGTTACGGCAGTTTTTATATGCACAAATCCCTTTCATAAAGAAATAAAATAAAAGAATAAATAAATCTCCGTAGACACGTAAGCCAGACTAGGCTAAAACATCTTCCGTTTCAAATTTAGACACCCCCCACCTTACCCTGACTTGACATCTATGAAAGTAACTCTATACTGATACTTATTATTAACACCCGACACACGCCTACCCAATCTAAACAATTCGCCCTACCTGTTACCATGGGAATTTTGATTTCAATTATTAAAACACGTAAATTTCTGAAATAAGTTATTCCAAAAAAAATTTCGCTTGAAGATGGAACAGAGCTTTCTTTAACTCAACTTAATTCAAATAATTATATTGAAGTTTTCGGCTCTTGTTTTGAAAAATGTGACCACGTATGTCGAGAGTTGGAATCATATTTTTAAATAAATAATTATATTTATGCTCTACATTTGTATCGAGCACTATTTTTAAAAAATAATAACTAAAAATACTAAGGAACTTTGGATCTACCTAACCAGTTCTTTCCTATTTTCTGTATATTTTCACAAATATATTGGCTCCCTAATTAAGGTCGAGCACTCTAAACCTTTATTTTTAAATACTCCTTTAAAAATATGGAAAAAATTAATTTCGGGATTTCTCTGAAAAACATTCCACAAACAAACAAACGGAATTATTTTGTTAAACTTTTACAAAAAACAGAGGAATTAATTAGAAGGATGAGATGGAAGGCATACTTCTACTTTCGTGGGAATAACTCAACCGATAAAGAACGCGAAGTTTACGGCTTTAAAAGTAAAAAAGTTGCACCATTCAACAAACAGCTATACGAATTTGAAAAAGACCTACTCAACATTATCAACAACATCTCCTTTCAAAAAAAGAAAAGCCACTTCCAAAAACATCTAGACCAAATAGTTAAGAGCATAAATAATTGTGATAAAATACTCGTTAAGTCTGACAAAACCGGCAACTTCTACAAATTGGCTGCTGATGACTACAACAACTTAATTAAAAAAAAAACTCAACCAGGACTTATAAAAAAGCTTGCAACAACAACATAAATATGGTTGATAGCATAAACAGAGCTAGTAAAAAAAATAACTGATAAATTAAAAATTAGCGATAGAGTAGGTAAACTTGTTGAAAAGGAATGTTACATAACTCTTAAGGACCATAAGCATGACTTTTTGGAAAACTCTGCAACTAGAATAATTAATCCTACCCGACCCGACATAGGAAAGATCAGCAAAAAGGATCTTAGAAAAAATTACCTGCCAAATAAAAAAAAAACAGCTGGAATTAAAATTATGGATCAACACTAAAGATGTCATCAATTAGTTTAACTATATTGATGATAAACCGAATTGCACCCTAATACAGTTCGATATCGTGGATTACTACCCATCAATTTCGAAGGATCTATTTACAACTGCCCTGGACTTTGCTGCTGTGTATTCTAACCTGACTAAGGAGGAAACAGATATAATCCTCAGCGCAAAAAAATCGGTCCTCATTCATAATGGGGACCAATGGATAAAAAACAATAACGACCTGTTTGACATCACTATGGGATCTTTAGACTCTTCGGGTCTTCTGACCTTGTTGGTCTTTTAATACTGTACAACTTAACGGCAAACCGCGAAATTGATAATAACGACATCGGACTGTATAGAGATGACGGGCTCATGGTGGTGAGGAGTTCTTCTTGTTTTAAGATAGACAGAATCAGAAAAATTATATTTAGTGAATTTAAAAATCTAAACTTAAAGGTAATTGTCTCTTCTAATTTGAAAAGTGTAAACTTCCTAGACGTAACTCTAGACTTACCAGGCAACACATACCAACCTTATAGAAAACCAAATGCTAACCCTTTATATATACACCCGAAGTCAAACCACCCTCCATCCATAATTAAACATATACCCTAAAAAATAGAAAATAGAATTAGCATTAACTCCGCTAACAAGGAAATATTCCAACAACACAATGGCTTCTATAACACTGCCCTAAAAAATAGTGGTTATAAAAATGCAAACATTAACTATAGAGACAATTGCACTGGCCATAAGAAGAAAAAAAAACAGGAAAAGAAAAATCATTTGGTACACCCCTCCGTTCAACCAAATGGTTAGTATTAAACTAGGACAGAAATTCTTAGCTCTAATTGATAAACACTTCCCCACCAATAGTAAGCTTAGTAATATATTTAACAAGAACACCCTAAAATTGAGTTACAACTGCACCGAAAATCTAGAAGGTATAATAAAAAACACAATAATAAAATCTTGAACAAACCCCCATGCCTGAATAGTATTAATAATAACCCTGCACTTAAATCAGACAATAAAAGGGAAAAATTATGTAATTGTAGAAACCCGGAAGACTGCCCATTAGAAAATAAATGCTGCATCAAATCTGTGGGATACCAATGTACTATATCATTCACTGAGAGTCCTAGTACTAATAAGATATACATTGGGTCCACGAAGAATGATTTTAAAGCTAGATAGAGGCAGCATAAGTGCTCTTTCAACAATATAAATAAAAGAAACCAGACTTCCCTATCTAAATATTTTTGGCATCTGAAGAAAATAAATAGGACACCTAAAGTAAAATGGAAAATTATAAACAGGACTAGAACATGTAAAACTTGGGATGACCCATGCCCTTTATGCCTCCATGAGAAGCTGCATATTATTAAGTTTCTAAATAATAATAATCTATTAAACAATAGACACGAGTTAACGGTTTTCTGCCGACATCATCAAATCTATGGTTTGAATGAATTGCTAAAAACAAGCATACAATATAATAACTTTTATAATCCATAGCCAAAATAAATAGTTTAAATACCCTACAAAAAGAAAACCCTTTATGAAGTCGTCAAAAAACAAAAATTACAGCAGTTTTTATATGCACAAATCCTTTTCATAAAGAAATAAAATAAAAAAATAAATAAATCTCCGTAGACACGTAAGCCAGACTAGGCTAAAACATCTTTCGTTTAAATTTAGACACCCCCACCTTACCCTGAACTTGACATCTATGAAAGTAACTCTATACTGATACTTATTATTAACTCCCGACACACGCCTACCCAATCTAAACAATTCGCCCTACCTGTTACCATGGGAATTTTGATTTCAATTATTAAAACACGTAAATTTCTGAAATAAGTTATTCCAAAAAAAATTTCGCTTGAAGATGGAACAGAGCTTTCAAATAATTATATTGAAGTTTTCGGCTCTTGTTTTGAAACATAAGACCTCTTATGTCGCGAGTTGGAATCATATTTTTAAATAAATAATTATATTTATGCTCTCTGCTTTTTAAAAATAATAACTAAAATACTAAGGAACTTTGGATCTACCTAACCAGTTCTTTCCTATTTTCTATATATTTTCACAAATATATATATATATATATATATATATATATATATATATATATATATATGGGAACTGTTTGTCGTTTTGACGTATGAGTGTTTTTCACTTCAGTTTTTATATTTATGTTTCGTATAACATAAAAATCCTGCACGGGATTAGCAAACAAATCCACACGAGGGACATGGTGAAGGGTTGACCTTCATATGGGCTGATGTATTAACCTGAGATTTAGAGTTAATTCATAATTCTTCCAGATGATTGAGATGATTCTTTTCAAAATTAGTTAGAGCTCGGTAGCAGGTGTTTCTCCAATTTTCTCGGTTTTCAACAGCAAGTTTGAACTCATCTATAGGGGTGTTTGCAGCGTAACCAAGGACGGTTTACATTACGCTTACCATGATATATATATATATATATATATATATATATATATATAGATAGATAGATAGATAGATAGATAGATAGTTATGCCGGCTAACAAGGTAAAGAAAGAACGGAATTTTCTTTACCTTGTTAGCCGGCCTTCCCTGACGATCCGATTAGGTGAAACCTTGGTAGGTTTGTCTGGCTCTCTAGGTTTAACTAGGTCTGCTCTACTCATTGTATTGAGCACTTTATTTAATTATTTTGGGTACTCGCATCGGGGTTTTTTTCTTTGATCTTTGGACTTGCATTTCCGGCTAACACACATGTTCTTGTTTCTTTTTTTATACCTTTTTTTTTTCCTTTTGGTATTGGCTTGTTTATTTGCAAATCAACACACCGAAGGTTTTCCGAGCGAGTATAGTTTCTCATACTCATAACATTTCTATTAATAATAGATAGATAGATAGATAGATAGATAGATAGATAGATAGATAGATAGATAGATACGAATATGAAGGGATAGATTTGAACAGATTTGGTTAGATAGATATGAACAGACTGAGATAGATAGATAGATAGTTAGATAGATAGATAGATAGATAGATAGATAGATAGATAGATTTGAACAGATTTGGTTAGATAGATATGAACAGACTGAGATAGATAGATAGATAGATAGATAGATAGATAGATAGATAGATAGATAGATACGAATATGAAGGGATAGATTTGAACAGATTTGGTTAGATAGATATGAACAGACTGAGATAGATAGATAGATAGATAGATAGATAGATAGATAGATAGATAGATAGATATAAAAAGTACTAGTATTGAAACCTCCCCGGTTGACCTTATCTTCAGGTGTGTAATTGTACTCTCCATGGCCAATTGCGGTCTGGGGAAGTTATTTAACCCACAGTTGGACGTTTTTAATTCGGATTTATCCCTCCCCTAGACTGTTTGCTGCCCACGGCTATTGAACTCAGTCTATACTACTATTTACCCATATCTAGCGGAGGGAAGAGATGGATACATACCTGCCCCAAGTGGATGTAACGAACTCGACTGGAATGACAAGTTTCCGATTTCCCAACATGATCTGCTATCATGTACTCCACCATATATATTAGGTTATCTGTACTTGAAAGAATATACGATTACAAAATCTCTAGTCAGATATAGAAAAATGAAATGTAAAAAAGAGAAATATTAAGAAAAGAAGAAATTAAGAGAGCAAGATAAAAAATAGGGAGAGAAAAGAAATAAAAAAAGAAATACAAACAAAAAGTATTATAATATAAACAATGATATATATATATATAATATATATATATATATATATATATATATATATATGCTTGACTGACTGGTATCGGGAGATAGAATATTTATGGAAGAGTAATTTATCCAACATCTTACTCAGAATCCCATTTGCCCATAATTATGTTTCAAAAACTGATGGAAGTGTTTCAATAGACACAATTATTAATTTCCGTAAGATAAAAGACAAAGCCTTTTCATAGCTTCTGAAGTTTTGTAAAATCTATAAACTATATCTGAAGTTAACTGACTGCATAAGTAATAAAAAGAGATTAAATCCAAAAGACACTGCCAAGATTTCCCTAATACTGTGTGAAAGTTTGGGGTAGCAAAAGATTTTTGTGAATGTACTATTTATTATAAATAAAAACAAATACACTCGCACATGCACACACAGACACACACACACACACACACACACATATATATATATATATATATATGTGTGTGTGTGTGTGTCTGTGTGTGCATGTGACACACAGACACATAGACACACACATACATATATATGTGTGTGTGTGTCTGTGTGTGCATGTGACACACAGACACATAGACACACACATACATATATATGTGTGTGTGTGTGTCTGTGTGTGTATGTGATATTAAGTAAAAATATATCTTCAGATTGATATTTACCTAATTTCCTATATATTCATTTTTTAAGAAAAAAAAATGCAACATGACTCAGTTTCTGTAGCACCTATAAGCTTCGTGTAACCATGGCAACATTTTTCTGTAGCATTTAAACTTGGGAAAGATATTGAAATAACCTAGAACCCATACTGGGTTCTGGGTTAATCTAATCACAAATCGCCTGCATACGGATAGAAAATTGATACAGCAGATATACGAAAAATAAAAAAGAGGTATAAGACAAGGATGTGTCTTCTCACCGGATTTATTCAACCTATACAGTGAAGCGATTCTAGGAGAATGAGAAGTCCTACCAGGATTCATTATTAGCGGCCAGAATCTTAACAAAATAAGATATGTAACTGACAGCGGATACGAATAGGAAACTACAAGAACTTTCTACAGAAGGTAGTGAGGGAATGCGAGAAATAAAAAAGGACTAAACATCAAATGCAAGAAGATGGAATGCATGGTTGTTAGTAGAAGAAACAACCCAACATGCAAATTATAAATTAGAGATACCAAAAATAAAACAAGTTAGGGAAGGTGTTTTAAAAGAGGACAGAGTATGCGACACTGAAATGCAAAAGTACATTGGGAGAGCCAAAGATAACAAGGAAAAAAATATTGAAGTTTTATGTAATATCAGTCCTCCTATATGGCAGTGAATGCTGAAAAATCTCATAAGAGATGAAGAGGAGATTTTAAGCAGCAGGAATCTGGTTCTACAAGAGGATGCTGAGGATACCCTGGACCAAACATGTGAGCAACAATTAAATTTTGGATAAAATGGAAACGAAGATGAAACTTATATTTAATATCAGGAAGAAACAATTGAAATTTCTAGGACACGTAATGAGGAAAGAAGGCTTGGCAAATCTGATACTTGCAGGACAGATTGAAGGCAAGAAGAACAGATAAAAACAACATATAACTTCCTTATTGAACTTGATTTTAGGAGAAAGAAGAAAAAATATTAAGTGCTACAAGTTACAGGAAATTATGGGGAAGCCTGATCGCCTACGTCTTAAACGGACTCGGCATATAGAAGAAGAATCTTTAAGCTTAGTAATTCGGACAGCTTCTTAACGCAATTCCTTAAGGGACATGAATTCATGAATAATATTGGTTCTCGGTAATTTAGATCCTGCAACTAACAACTCACTACTCACCAGCAGGAAATACAAGTATAATAGCCTCATGTACTTGTAAAACAGAAAAAAATAATAATCGAAGCACTAATAATAAAAAAGAAAAAGCCAAAACTCAATAACATCAACTATGAATACGGCCATAATGTGCTGACCGTTTTTAGAAGCTAAAAAGAAACATTCCATTCACTTCAGAAACATATATAAAAATCTATACACTGAGTTAAAAATTTAAAAAAAAGAAGAAAAAAAATCTTTGATAACGGCTAATGGAATATTCGAAATCGTTCGGATATATATACAACATTTGGACAATTTTTACACACTTTTTCTCCAGAAAAGAAATCACTTATACGAACACAAGAAAAATTAACTAAAAAGCTTCATCGCAGTACCTTGTCAGTCATCTTTAATGAAACTTGTATAAAAGAGGGATTGTTGCCCAAATACAATTATATATATATATATATATATATATATATATATATATGTGTGTGTGTGTGTGTGTGTGTGTGTGTGTGTGTGTGTATGAACAAGGACTTGACACCACAGAACATAAACATTGATTTGAAACGCACGACAGTATCTTTCATTTTTTTCTTTTCCTAAATATATATACTTTCTGGACTACTGTTCATTATTTTTTCTCTTTCTACACATTTACTAAAAACCTTTAAGATATTCTTCACTCCCTGATTCTTTTTTTCTCTTCTCATCCAAGAATTTATTTTCCAAGGTTTTTTTCCCAATTTATTCTATTCTTTGTCATTACAAACTCATTTTGTATTTTATTTTATTATTACAACGTAGACCGCCATTTTTACTCAAGCTAATTCCTGTTTTTTTTTTTTTGTTTGTCTTTTCTGTAACTTGATCGTCGAACACTTTTTTGCAATTGCCTATCTCGAATGTCCTCTTGTCTGACTTACTCACATTAGCCGAACGCCTTCCTTGATTGTTTTCACCTTTTTCTCATAAATCTTCTCGCTACTTCTTCGTCTTGTTCTTATTATTCTCATCAAACGAACAATAATTGTTTTATATAAAAAACCATTGACTTCCAATGCAGTTCTTTTAATAATTCTAGGGGATAATTGCAGGGGTATTTTTTATACGTTTTATTGAAATGAACGGCCAATTTCCCATTTTTCGTCGCCAACGAGGGTTGCGGTAGCATAAAGGTTATCAACATGGGGAAACAAAATTGTCGAAGCAAGTCCGAATTCTAGATGAGCATGTAGGGTTTTTTTCCCAGAAAGGCATAAATACCTATTTGCAAACAATCTGTATACGTGGTTAGCAAATTTTTCGATACACTTTCAGTGTGCAACCACTTGATTAGGTAAGAAACAACATCTGATATATATATATATATATATATATATATATATATATATATATATATATATATATTATAAATTAATTGATTTAAAATATGTTTTTTTCGCTACACAGTTCCAACCATGTTTCAAAAATAGAAGCTAAAAACCCCGAATTTAATTTTGCAATTAAATTAAAAGCATTAGTTCCATTTCATCTTCAAGCGAATTCTTCGCTTGAAGATGAAATGGAACTAATTTCGCTTGAAGATGAAATGGAACTAATTTATAATATTAATGCTCTGTAAATTTACATTGAGCACTATTTTGTAAAAATAAAAAATATCTATAAGAACACCGGATTTTATATCTTACTGTTTTTTTTTTTTTATTTTATATTATATATATATATATATATATATATATATATATATATATATATATATATATATGTATGTATAATTATTTATTTATTTAAAATATGATTCCAACACGCTACATAAGAGTTATCATATTTCAAAACAAGAGCCGAAAACTTCAATATAATTATTTGAATTGAATTAAAGTAAGCTCTGTTCCATCTTCAAGCGAAATCTTTTTTGGAATAACTTATTTCTGAAATTTACGTGATTTAATACCATATTCATTATTGAAATCAAAATTGCTATGGTAACAGCTAGAGCGATTATTTAAATAAACAGGGGTGTAAGGTGTTAATAATTTGTAGAAGAATCCTTAAATACCCTATGGATCATTTTCCTAATACGGTCTACCTTAATTTTAGTGGAGTTTTTAACAACTAATAATCCATCATCTCTATACAAACCTACACTATCTGAATCTAGACAATCGAAGGCACTTAAATTATACAAAAGAAATAATCCAACCAGGTCAGAAGTTTCGTATGTGTGTATAGGTGTTGGTTTCCCCTTTTCCTTTTTTCATAAAGGGCTGTGGAGATGTTTCTGTCTCGTCACTATTTTGTGTGTATATATATATCTAAATATGTCTGGGTGCTTATGTATTATAATCTGATTGTGTTTTTGTTGTTTTGCGCGTGAGTTTAAGACCACATTCACACACTTTAGAATAAAAAATATATATACATGTATTGTCAAATGACAGGATATTGTAGCGTCTTGTCGAACGTAATTTCAACGAAGAAATAAATTGAATGTATGTATATATGTTTTTTTCTTTTCTCAATAATTTTTAAACTTAATAGTGATTAAATTTGGATTTTAAAATTGGCAGTTTTTAATTTTAATATTAAATTTTATCATATAATTTTATAATTATTGGTTAGTATAAATTCTTTTTAATATTACCCGTAAAAAAGATCTGAATAGCTATTATAACATGATTTCATTGTCAAGCTTTTGAATCTTTCTATACTTGGTTTTTGATTGGTTATTCTAGCTTTTGTAACAATGTTTCCCCCTAGTGTAGGATCGTTAATTAATCTGAAACTTTTAAAACCATTTATTTTATCTGCAACATCATCACTTGATAAGACACCGAGGGTGTTGAAACAAAATGGCTATTTTTGTAGTGATTTTATAACATATTTATGTTATAATTTTTTTTTTTATATAAATAATAATTATATCTGCTCTACTTTGTATTGAGCACTCTTTTAAGAATAGTAATTGTTGGTTATTGAAATTCATTCCGTATATACCAATTATATACTTGGGTATATATATATATATATATATATATATATATATATATATATATATATATATATGTATGTATGTATGTGTGTGTGTTTGTGTTTGCGTGCGTGTGTGTGTGTGTGTGTATATATGTTCCAGTGAAATGGGACATTTTTTTTAAAACTCACTTTCTGTTCTTCGTGTTTAATATGTGTTAGAAATGTATAAATTTTAAATTTTGTTTATATCTCTATAATTTTTCTAATTTTATTTTAATTCCATTTTCGAACCCTATTAATAATTGAATACACTAGAACGCATCTTTGATAACCTCGCACTTGAATTTCTTCGCGTGGGCTTTCAAAAAAGGTTTATCGCCAAATGATCAATAGTTTAGCTGAGCTTAAAGAACGCATTCAGTAATCAGTGCCAGCGATAACTTCGGAAATGCCTTAGAATGTGTTTCGCAAAGCTAAGGACTGATTCGAAATTTGCAGAGCACATGTTTAATATTTTCAATAAAGTTTTGATGTTAGATTTATTAATCGATTTGTTTTGTAAGTGATAAACATAAAATTGTGTCAGATTTTCAAAATTTGCCTTAATTCATTAAATAAATAGTTAATTCTGGTACACCATAATATACATACATACACACACACACACGCACACACACACACACACATATATATATATATATATATAAAGATATTTTTATGTTTATAAATTCTTTTTATAGATACAAATATTTAAGTAAATGCTCTGTTTTATAATAAACAGTATTAATAACATTTACCGGCCTGAGAAATCTTCATAGAAAATAGAGAGAGAGAGAGAGAGAGAGAGAGACAGAGACAGAGACAGAGATGGAGAAAGAGAAAGATAGTGAGAGACGATGTGAACATAGAAATCAACAATATATAGTGACTTTTCATGAGATTATCCGAGAGCTAATATTATTACGCTCGATATGTATACAGATGAAGGCGTATATGATTTTTTCCGAATGTAATTTATGTATGTACAGTATTTGTACGTGTATGTGTTTCTAGATGTATATATGTATTTATGTTTATGTGGGAATATGTATGTAGGTGCATATGCATTTTCTTAACTTTAATTTATTTTCATATTTATTTTATTTCATTTTTTTTTTTATTCACTTAAAATAATCCTTTTGTAATAAATTTTATTATTTAAAAAAATAATCTTTTTACATAGATATATTTTTAAAATTATTATTTTATTTTTGGGAAATTATTCGTTATTTTTATTAATCACCTATTGTTTTTAATCACACGGGTATAAATAAACTTGAAAAGAAAATTGTCAAATATATTCAATTTTAAACATTGAAAATTACCAGTTCTGATTCATCTCTTAAGGTTCCACTTTCATTCTCGTGTTTTTTCCCCCTTTTTCTTTCTTTTTCTTTTCCATTGTCTATTTCCTTTGTTCCCCTTTGAAGATACTGTCCTTACTTCACTTCTCACATCCGGTGAAATGGAGGTCAACCTGTCTGTTCTCAATCACGACTGTTTCATCTTCTACCCCGAACCTGTATCTCACTAGACTTATCTCCGTTTCTACCCTTTTCTCTTTCTTTTTCTCTCTCTCCCTTTCTTTCTTTCTTTCTTTCTTTCTTTCTTTCTTTCTTTCTTTCCCAATTTTGAATCTACATTTTAAAACATAATTTATGTTTTAATATTTCGTTTTGTGCCTGGTAAAACATTAAATCCATTTATTGTTGAAAACATTTGGTATGATGAAACGAAACCAAAATATCGATTTCGCGAAATAAAATATTACCATGGGTTTGTAAAGTCTCCGCTTACTTAATTAATTATGCAAACACATACACACGCGCATATATATATATATATATATATATATATATATATATATATATATATATATATATATATATATATATCGAGAGAGAGAGAGAGAGAGAGAGAGAGAGAGAGAGTAGATGAGAGAAATAGTCTGGCTTAGACTGGACTTCATAGCTAGATTTGTAGGCAGATCTGTGATGGCACGCCTTACGTCTTTGATGGGCGGACTGGAGTCAATAGCCAAAATAGAAATACCCCGCCACCCGATGGAATCAACGCCAACGTGCTCTCGTGACCAAGGCGAGTCTTCAAGTTGAAGGACATCAGCTGTGGCTTGACCCGGACAGAGATATGCTCCACCAGGCTTACAAAACATGCTCCGCTTGAATGAATAATCCCGTTTTAAACGCAGACATGTGGAGTGAAGTGGACAAGATGCTACAATCACACCAAGTCACGGGACTATTGATGATGATGATGTGGAAATGTAGAAGAGGAAAAATGAAAAGAAATCCAAATATTATTATCTTTACATAAATTAATGACAGCCGCGAAATGATGTTGAATTTATTTTGTGAAAAATATTTTATATATAAAATTGTATATGTGAAATAATTTTAGCAAAAATTATTTCAAAAGTTTCATCCTGTTATAAAGCAATTTGCAATGATTTCATTTCTTTTTCAGTTTCGATAATTTTCTTTTGAGTTTTTGTACACATTAACATATATTTTAAAACAACGGGTTCTTATCGAGGTAGCACAGACGTCAGCTAGGCACAATTATTATTAAATTGTTTACAATTTCTTTATTCTTCATCTTAGAACTTTTTAACGGTAACTGAAACTTGTTGTGATGTGCCATTTTTTACTGTGCGACGATACTACACACGCAATCAGAAATCAGGTCATTCAGGATTTTTCGTGATTTGAAAATGAGGAACTCTAAAAATTCATACTTCCAAATAGTCCTAATGTTCTTGGTAAAATACAAAAATATATATTTATTTCTAGAAAAATATTTTTTAATAATATAACCCCACAGATTTCGAAAAAAAAAATCTATGTAACGCGTTTCGTCTTCTAAAACGACTTCATCAGACGAATATCCTTATTCATCATCATGAGGGATGTTTCGGCTTGAAGGCAAACTGCAAATATCATTTAATCTTATCAATCTCCCCCAAACCTTTGTGTTATTTGCTAACTCGCGAAAAGTGCCACAGGTCTTCCAAGTCTTCAAAGATTTTTTTTTACGGAGAATGATGAAATTTTCTTGATAGTTTTTATTTTAATAAACGTTGTTAAAGGCGTAACCTATGTCCTTTCATCCAGTGTCTATGGATGTTATTCTTCCATTTTGTATTGATGTCAAAACCATTTCAATAATTTTTATATGATTCCAAAATTTTGCTGCCGATGTAATTATTAAGGAGAAATATTTTTGGATTTTCGTTTCTTGGCGACAACATACATCAATATTGTAATCATCAAGCCCCACCCCCCGTCAATAATTTAATTCCTTTTTTCTAACAAATCCTTTAACATTAAAGTTGCCAACTTTTAGCGGTTGACAACCGACCGGATAAGTCATTAGCTTCTCTACTAATAATATTCATTTTACTGTGATAGGCGTTGAACGTTACTGTCTTTTCTGACCAATGTCTTCCTTGTTTGGATTGGTTAAGTTACCCGTGTTTTCGTACAGTTTCAGAATTCGGATCACAACCCTTTTGGAACGCTTCACCTGTTCAGTAATTTGGTCAAATGTATGATTTTTCTTTCTCAGTTTGACAACATCAGCTGTTAGGGGCTTGTCAACATCGGTTATTGGTTCATCATGTTGGAAAATGGCGTAGTGATGAGAAACAGTCTTTATCTTAATCTCGCTTATCAGAAATTCGTATTGTGCGTTATTCTCACATATTTCCCGATTTACTCCTTAATTTTGGACACTTGGTATTTGAGTAAAAAATTAAATGAATCATAGCGATCTATCATTCCAAATAACTTACAGATTTAAAGCACAACTGAGCTGCCATTTGTTTACATTTAGGGAAAATTTCAGAAAAATGGGATTTATTGAAAAATCGAAGTTTTAATTTTTGTTCCTTAATTTTGAACGCTACTATATATATATATATATATATATATATATATATATATATATATATATATATATAGATATAGAGACACCTAGTGAGCCAGACAAACCTACCTACGTTTCACCTAAACGGATCGTCAGGAAAGTTTGGCCAAACTTTCCCTGGACGATCCGTTTAGGTGAAACCAGGTAGGTTTGTCTATCACTAAATGTATCTAGGTCTGCTCTACGGTTGTATTGAGCTCTTTTGTTAGTTAGTTGTTACTCGTATCGGGGTTTTTTCTTTTGGGCTTCAGACCTGCATCTGTGCGATTTTTTTGTTGGCAGAAGTTCATGTTTGTAGCTCTTTCTTTTTTAAAACCTTTTTTTCCATCGAGATTGATTTGATTAGCAAATCAAAAAAATTCGAAGGTTTTTTCAAACGAAACTAGTTATATATATATATATATATATATATATATATATATATATATATATATATATACAGAGAGAGAGAGAGAGAGAGAGAGAGAGAAAGAGTGGAACAGAGAGAGACAGAGATAGAAATATAGAGAGACAGAGACCGATATAAATATACACATCGGTTATAATTATAGTCGCCGATGGAAAACCCTGACGATTTAGGAACGATAAATTAAACAAAAACAAAGAAGAAAACAAAACAAAAAAAACTTTGACATTCGCTTCACAAAAGCTTTTTTTATCGGCGTTTTTTTTACAAATATCCAACATTGTGACAACTTAAGATTTGTTAAGAAAGGACAAATTTGGTAAGTATATGAAAGCAAATCAACCGTGGAAGTTTCTGAAATCGGTACACTTTCTATACATTTTCGCGCTAGTGAAGTACATTTTTCTTTTAATTAAAGTCACATTTATTAAAATCAAAATTATGCCCAATCTTAATTAATAAGATGAATTACATATTCATTGAGTATGTTGTTTTGTAAAATATCTCTTTTGTGTTCATATAAATTTTGATTTAAATTGCTTGAAGTTTCTCCGATGTATTTGTTGTGGCTAGCATTCAAGGCTATACTATAAATCCCTGCTTCAGGTTTTATGTTGTTATTATTTTGTTTTGCATTAATTTTTGTATTGTTTTAGAAGTAGTTATTTTTTCAGTTGTGTTTTGATTCATATGTTGGTAGGTATTCTATTTGTAAGTTTGTGCCTTCAGCATTCCAAAGGGCCTGGTTTCGTGGCTTTGTTTTACTTCTATAGAATAAATGTAACTGGAAAAGAAGAAACTAAAAAATAATTTATGGCGAAATAAATAAAAAAAAATCCTCGGAAATTGAAAAAAAAAAAAAAGATAATGAAAATCCTAGTCTTCAGACGTCCTGGGTATGACGATAAACTACATCCAATCCAGGGGTTCTGAAGAGCATGGAACCAATTGCTAGTGATCTCAGGTCCATCCTGGCCTCGGGTGGTAGCACATGTTAGGGTCCTAGCTATGGCAAAATAGTTAACCCTCAAACTATGGCAAAAACACTATGAAAGTGTAAAAATAGGTTTTACTACCAGCAATATATTTTTTTAAATTATTACCAGCAATACATTATTACCAGCATAGAATTAGTTTTAAAAACAAATTGTCAGTAATACATTTTTGAGAAAAAATATTATCAGCAACGCATTTTGGAAAAAAAAACAATTATTACCAGCAATACATATTTGAAAAAAATATTACCAGCAATAAAAATCTTATCGGCATTAAATAATCCATTGAGGTTGATATGCCGTAAAACAAAACAAACCTAGTTTTCAGAAGAATAAACATGGATTGCGAAAGCTGACGATGTGACAGTCGTAACATAAGGTCATTTTTCGGAGTAAGGTCATTGATCGTTGCGAAATCCTTTCAACCACGAAATAATAATAATAATAATAATAATAATAAAGGACAAAAACAATCGAGATTATAAATAGGAGCGGCATATTATCTGCAATAGAATGCAAGGTTTTATAAGATTTTTGAAAATTTTTTTCATCATTTTTGTCTTAGTTTTTATTCTTTTTCCACTGAACCAATTTTCTCTCTGTATATTTATTGTCCCGGCCACGAATATGTGAACAAAACACTTTTATTACAGTTTTACATTCTTTTAATATTTTTAAGGCATTTTCATGTTTTTAGCTTCAAATATATTTTATGGGGCTTATTTCTCGGTTCGACTGGGATCTGCAGCCAGTCGAGACAGGGATTAAAACCGGATGAAACAACAGCATTCATGCATTTAAAGTCTTGAAATTGTTCCAGAAAATGTCGGCATTTTTTCGTTTTTGGTGGGGGAGGGATTCTCAGCAGGTAGTGTGATCAGCAAAAGAAGGCGGGGAGGATAAAAAATGCTTAAACAAAAACAGAAAGCAAATAAGTTTAATAACATTACAACTAATATTGCAAATAACACTAATAATAATCTCAATTAAAAGATCTAAATCCTCGACAAGAAAACGCAATATTTCTCCGTATAATATCTATGTGCAATTTATAGCTGACCACACGTATTCGAGGATACCCGTCTACCAGGGCGGCTAGCCAATCCCTATTATAGGCGCTTGCTCAGTCACATTTGTGTTTGCTCAATCCCCACGGAGCCTACCTATGGTTTATACTGCAACTATGCTGAACTGACCTTAGTTACAGGTTCTAGGAGATAACGTTTTATGTAGCGTGAGCAACAATTTGAACAAGGCCAGCACGCTCAAGTCCTCGGCCATGATGACTTGTAGCTTTGTGCTAGCACAGCTATCGAGGGCCATCAAGAGTTCAGTCTACCCAATTTCACTCACAAGGTTTGGGTCAGCCCGTGGTATGGTTTTTAGGCACTTTCCAAAGATGTCGCACCCTGGGATCAACCCCTCCAGTCCGATAACATCCTGACAAATCGACCATGGTGAAATTCGAACCCAGGTCTTATGGTCAGATTGCGAACTTTCTAACCACTCGGCCACGTGCCCATAAAATGGGACAAATGGACTCAATGTCAGAGATAAATCATTTATAGAAATAAAGGGAAGACACTCAGTTGAACAATGAATCGTGACTGGCACTTCTGCACCTCAAGTAATCCTCTGACTATGTAGACTTTATGAATCTATACGAAGACGAATAGAATGTCGTCTGTTGGTTTGAAACAGCTAGTCATCTTATAGTGACGATATCTATGTTAACATTGTTTAATATAAAAATAAAAATGGACAATGAGGTCAACACCGAGGGAAGAGAGCCTGTTTAATGCATCAACGCAATCTTTATGCCATATTTGTTGTGTGTGCACCCCAAGTAAGGCGGGAGTGTCACTAGCACGCAAGGGGTTACAAAGAGCGGGAGCAAGAGTAAAGAGGCGTGATAGAGGAAAGGATGAAGAGAAGGACAGGGAATTAGATCAAAACATCTGGAGATATCGATTGATATTGCATTTGAATATTTGGAGAGTACAGCTATTATAGAAGCAAGTAAGAGGAAGGAAGTTCCACAGATGGGAAAGTGCGAGACATGAAGCAATTGGGGTAGAAGAGACGGTTACATTTAACCGTTTCGACAGTGAAAGGGTGGGACTGAGATGCCAAACTAGTAGCACGTTTAAATTCATACAGTTTGGTAACTAGCGAAAGTAGCTCGTCGGAACAATTACCGTGAAAGTATTCGTAGAAAAGACAGAGAGAAGCGACGACACGTCTGTAAAAGAGCGACTGTAAACGAGATGCCAAATCAGAGCCCATCACATTTGCATATCCGTCTCTGGATTTTGTTAATTTATTTGTTAATTTTAACCGGTGTTTTATTTATTTAGATTTTTTTGTTCATTTTATATATTTTTTATTTTATTCGGTGATTGGTTGTCTAATTTGTTGAGTTTAAAATATTGGTTTTACCTAAAGTATGTTACATTAACTGCGTTGTATACAGTGTATTTATTTGCATTTTCATGATGGGATTTTACAAGCTATTCGTTTTTAGCGAAAGAAAAACGATAAAACGAAAAGAAAGGCGAAAATATAACGGAAAGGCGCGAAGAAAAATCGAGACATATTTGGATTTTATTACCTTTTAATTTTTTTGTCTTTTCGAGTTTTATTTAATAATTTCTCTTTTGGAGCGAACGGACACCTTTAGATAGGACGCGTAGGTTGGTACTTACTACGTTATTAATATATAGATAATAACAATAATACTAAGGATATCATAATAATTGTTATGCTAGATTATCTGATTTTTCATGCTTGATCGGGACGTTGAACTGAAAATAAGTCTGGAAATATATAAGAATACTGAAAGTGATTTTAATAATCCAAAATAAACGAAATTTAAGGCATAGATGGACAAGGAAAATACTAAATACTAGACTCAACAGCAGGAAGCATAGTAAAATATTAAGGATCCTTCCTCGGCTGGACAAGAGATATGAGACATTTGAATGAAAGCATGCAGAAATAGATGACCATGTGGAAAGTCTTAGACACTTAATTGGATGACATCATATGCGTCAAGGAAGGAATTTGTTAGCATTTAGGACATATCTCAACTGGTCTCTTGACATTCTTGACGGCTATAATAATGAAAGATTGAATGTGAATATCAACATTTGTATTGGAATATAAAAGAGAAAAAGAGTGATTAGAAGTCTGCAAAACGATATGCCCTAAAAGTCTTGGATATTTCAGGACACAAAGGAATTGCAGGTGAGAGATATGTTTGCGAAGAGGACATTTAAAGTGAAAAACTGAAAGCCTATAATTATTGCAAAAAGTCATGACTTGGAAGGAACGGTAATCGATTGGGAAGTATGCAAATGAATTGGAATTGAACAAGTAAATCAGTAATTATAAGCATAATACAGAATCTATTGAAGAGAATTAAAAAGGAAGTTCCATGAGGGTTTTAAAATTAAATGAACAATTAAAGAGGAAAACCAGAAACAGTGATTATAGACAATGCATAGAACATTTATGTGCTGAGGCCAGAGGGAAATTGAGATGCAGTAAAATGTTGGGTTAAATACGGATATTGGCTGGAAATCCACGAAATACCGAAACCCTTCAGTTGACAGTGTCAGAAGAAGAAGAAGAAGAAGAAGAAGAAGAAGAAGAAGAAGAAGAAGAAGAAGAAGAAAATAACAACAACTATAGAGAGAACGAGGAGGAGGAATATTAGAATATTAGGTAAATAATAATAATAATAATAATAATAATAATAATAATAATAATAAGAAGAAGAAGAAGAAGAAGAAGAACATCAATAACAACATCAGCAACAACTACAAGGAGGAGGAGGGGAGGAAGAGTAGGTAAATAATAATAATAATAATAGAACGAGGAGGAGGGGAGAGATATTAGAATATTAGGTAAATAATAATAATAATAATAATAATAATAAGAAGAAGAAGAAGAAGAAGAAGAAGAAGGAGGAGGAGGATGTGGAGGTGGTAAAGAATAATAATAAGAAGAAAAAGGACAACAACAAGAAGAAAAAGAAGACGAAAATAATATTAAGAAGAATAACAACAACTATAACGACAAGAACAAGGACAAGAAGAAGAAGAAGAAAAAGAAGAACAAGAAGGAAAGACGTAGAAAATGACGAGATCGATTCGAAAGTAGAAAATTGAAAAAAGAAAATTGAACGAATATAAGAAAAGAAATCAAGAGGGGGGGGCGGGTGGATCGAAAGGAGAAGGAGAAAGAATGTAAATGGAATAAGGGGTATCATCAAAAAAATAAGAAATATAATGGGGAGAAAAAAAGAAAACCAAATTGATCGTAAGAAGAATGAGAAAACGAAGAGGAAAATGAATGGAATAAAAAAAAATAGTAAATATAGAGAAAAGAAAGTGAAATAATTTATAGAAGCAAAAATAGTAGAAATACATGTGGTTTTGGTTAAGGAGTCTTTGCCCAAAAGAACTAGGTGTCTAAGTGGCAGATGGCAATCTTAGCAGTTTCACCTGGAATGCGTGACTGATTTTGTGATCAGAAACACCATTCATCAAATCTGATTGGACAAGACGGCCAATCGGATTGAAATGAGGAGAGAGTTATTCTCTCTTTTTTTTTGGGGGGGGGTTGCATACAAAGTATAAAAAGGAGTGAGAAAACGATTAAAAGGACGGACAGAGGAGAGAGAACGAGATTTAAGAGGAAAAAAAGAGTGGGAAGGAAATAAAAATGGATACATAGAACAGATACAAGAGCAGAGAGAGCAAGAGAGAGAGAAAAGAGAAAAACAGGAAGATAGGACTATAGTATTTCGTGTCTAGGCGAACTTGCTTCCCATTGATGGTGACAGGCAGACTCCACTCGTTAGTTAAAAATGTACACGACGACGTGTTTAATAAAACAATAAGTCAAAATCCATTTTGCTGAATTTCTCATTTTATTTTCGGACTCCAACAAACGTTTCGACGCCCGACCAGGAGAAGACGAGAGAAGAAAGAAACGTGAAAGAAGATGCAGCATATGAGGGAATCAAGACCGTCACCTCAAGACTACCCCCACCCCAGCGCAACAATTTGGGCGGAACAAAAATTCATAGCGTTTTTAAGTGAATTCCAAAGATGGTATTTCGATATTAACGCATAGATTTAATGAAGCCCATATATGCCGTTTCGTTCCATTGCATTTTATTACCTCTAAATTAGCTACATCCACGGTTAATTTAATATCATCGTTGTTTTAAAGGCTTTCATAGAACTGAAGTTCTAATTGAGAAAATAATGTAAGGATCATGTAGTAATCCGAAGGCGTAATGTCAGGTGAGTGCGGCACGTGTAGCAGGGCAAACCAGCCATATTGTATCAATTTCGGCTGGGTCTAGGCGTCACTCTTCCGTTTGGCTAGTTACGGGCGCATTTTATTCCATTGCTGTGTCCTGGATATGACGATAACTACATCCGCCAACAAGGCTTCTGATCGGGAGGTTGATGTTGTCCCCAGGTCCACCCTGACCCGGGGTAGTAGCACCTGTTAGGGTCCCAACTATGGGCAAATAGTTAACTGGGGTCAAAACACTATGATTAATATAAAAATACATTTTCATAGTAAAAATATTTCTAGAAATTTATTTTTAAAAACTAAAAATTACCGGCAATATCTTTTTGAAAAAAAACAAAACATGCCAATATTCCCAAGTAAATTAAATTTCGTCATTAAATGACCCGTAAGGAGTTGATATGCCGCTAAAGAAACAAGCTATTTGATTGCTGTCTTTGTCTAACTGGGAAGAGTATTTTACTGAAATGAATATTTGATTTTGCAGAACGAGCTTCTAATAAACAATGGCTTTTCAATCACACCAGATAGACACCATTACCCACTTCTGATGAAGAACAGATTGAGGGTGGCTCATTTCGCTTACCCCAGGACCATTTTCGCTTCACATTGCTGTAAGCATTCCATTTTTCATCGCCTGTGGTCGTTTCTTTAAAAGAAGAATTGTTTCTGTTGCGTTTGAGAAATGAATCGTACATGGAAATGCAGATCATTAAAATGTCTCCTTTAAATCGTGTGGCACACAAACATTGTAGCCATTCACGTATCCAATTATTTTCATATACTCATATGAAACATGTGGAGTACCACTGCGATATCCCGTATCGTGTGACCTTAATTAATTTTAATCAAAATTTCGATTTGGTCATTATCAACGACTGCAGACCAGACGAACGTTCTCGGTTAATCCAGATGAAAGTGTTGACTTCTGAATCCAGCACACCTACAGTACTCTCAAGTATGGCACCATCTCTATAAGTGGTATCTATCTTTTTTGCTGTTTGTAAATTGTTTTTTTCTTTCTGGAAATATATGATTATCAAAAACTCGTCTCATTTTCTTCCATTTTCACTTTCAACGTAAGAAGCGTTAAAATTTACAATTCACCCAGAAATCGTATAAAAAGACACATTGAAATCCCGC